GGAAATAAAAGTTGCAATTTACAATTGATTGAAGTCAACCTGAGCTCGCAGTTTCGACTGGTTACGAGATTGAAATGAGAAGCAAATAGTAGAGCAAATCAAAGTGTAGATATATCATAAAAATCTGTTCTATAAATTCGTTCGATTACCGCAATAATCAACAATGAATTTAATTTTGACTTTCTTTCGCAAGAAGAACAATTCGCCTTATTTTAAACAATTCTACCTAAAGTTAAAATGATCAATTTATCAGTCCCCGTTTTAATGAAGAAGCTGATAAATGAAGAAACAATCTATTGTTTTAGAGAAGAGATACTTCAGGTGTTTAATGACACTAATAAATACGATAAGACGATTGTTGGTACCTTAATCGTCAACACAATTATGAAAATTCCAGCTGATTCTAATTCGAATCATTTTCTCATTTACGAGGTACACGCTCCTATCTTTTGTACCGGCAACGTCGCATACAATACCGTAAATGTCCCCCGATTCATTGGGATAAACGTTGATCATCAAAAGTTTATCGAATTTTATTCGGAAGATTTGGCATCTTGTTCGTTTATTAAAAATTTCCTGTTATGTAGAGAAATTCCGCCAATTCTGGATAACTGGCAAAATTTATGTATGAAGCAAATGCAAACCACAGACAGTAATCACGAGCACTGCTTACTTTTCGAGTGTTAAAAGTAGCCAAAAACAAATGGATGTTGAGTTCAAGTAGTTCAATAACTTGTACTGAATACGGCCCATCATCGTCGCACAAAAGTAATAAAACCGCTAGCTTTCTTTTCGTTAGAATGCAATCGTACGTTGAAGTGTGATCACTTTTCGATTGAATCAAAAAATCACTCGTGTCGGTCAAAAAGTATAATACGAATACTATCAAAAGGGTATATCGTTCAACATGATGATCTACTGTTGAATATATCATTATATAAAAGTCGAAATTATAGACATCATATTGATGCGAAACGGATGGGACTATTCTTACTCAAATGAAAAAGTGAAGTCAAAAACAATTTGGAAAAGAATCTAAGAGTAACAGTCTTTCGTCTAAAGATGGATGCGGGAAATGCAATTAGCTATGGATTCTTGATTCAGTTGGTAATACTTTTAATATTCACAGGCGGTCTATTGATTTATATACGCAGGTCATTTGGCTGTACTCCCAAATTACTTTCGGTTTAAATATTGTCGCATGATAACAAACGATACTCTTATATTCTACTCGTTTGCTTCAGCTACCGGATTCAGAAAGATGTGGTGCTTTTCCTTTGTGGTCTACACTCAGTAAAAAATACATTGAATTTTCCTTGACTATTTGCATGAGAAAGTAAAAATTCAATTCTGTTCTCTGACTAGGCGGGCACACAGAAACAAAAATCGAAAAATAAGAGCTATTAAAAGCCAGCGATCATATCGTAACAAGAAAAAAGAAATTCAACTGTTCATCATGGAGCAAAAGAAATTTTATTAGAGCAAAGAGAAAGCCACGCACATCAGACAAAAATATAATGAAAGAGACATCAAAAGGTACGAGACACAAAAAGAAATTTTAAAGAATTAATCAACTGCTTTCCTCTGGAAGAACACTTGGTCTTTTCTGATCATAGTGACTGGTGTTAACACCAATCCAACATAAAAATATTGACGATAAAAATGTAAGACCAAATGTACTCCCAAACGATAAGCCGAATGTTTTTCTTAACCGATCCATTATAAAAATCCAGAAAACAAAATTAACAACAGGTATGAAAAACAAAAAGGTATTTTATACAAACAATTTTAATTAAATAGTAACCATTTACAAACGGAATTAGGGCTAAATAACTACTAATTCCCGCTTTTTTAAAAACACGTGTTAATTCAACAAAAAATAACACAAACTAAATGATTGTATAGAAGAGGTCCAGAAAAAAGTCAACGCGGTGCAACCACAAATAAAAAAAGTCCCAATCGAACATGATTGTCGGGGATTTAATTTTGAAATTCTAAAGAGAAAATAATACAGTAAAATAATCAACAACTGACTTACTTAACTGAATATGCGCCTAAAATGATCTCAATAGACACGTCTCTTTTTATGAAATAATATAAGATAACAATAATTACAAAATGAATAATCCCTGTATATATATGAAAACAAAGAGAAAAGCACGGCGGAGGAATATAACATGTACCTATAGTCAGCATATGCACAAAACTGAATAAATGACGCATGAATAAATGAGATGAACCGAAAAAGGAATGAAACATGACTGTGAACATGGTTATGGTTAGCGGTCGAACAGTAGTCCGCTAACACAGTACAACGAAATTAAGTTGATATGACACTCGTGAATCAGGCTCTTTACTACGAAAAATTTGTTTATTTCAAGGATACGGTCAAAAAAAGCTAGTCATGCTTTCTCATGAGGAAACTTATATTAAATCAAGGTTACACAAACAAATTGTGATGTGCGCAGACATACTGAGTGCACTTTTGGATCCTAGTTCTAAAATAAAAGACACTAGTGTTCTAAAACCACGTAAATTTTATATGAGACGCCTTGGCTGCTCGGCTTCTCTCAAAATTAAACAGAAGACATGCCAAATAATTAGGCTTCCATGTCGTTTGAAAACAATCCGCGTCCAACAGGATCGGCATAACGAGATACAAACAAACATAGCAAAACCATCTTTGCACATCAATTAGTTTATAGTCAAATGGGTCTGGAACGTCCATTTTTACTGCAATATTTGTCAAGGCGTCCAACAAACGTTGTCTTTAAGGTATTTCTTTTTACTAAAAATTAGACGGTCTGATTTGGTTGAAGGTTTTTATTTCAAGATATAGAACTGCTGCTATCGTGCCGTGGTCCGTTGTTCTAATAGCCCATTAACGGCAACCATTTTGTCTACCATTGGAAAAATGATCAGGAGACTAATTATTTACTTTTCAAATGCAGACCGCGAAAAACGGCTATAACAAAAAGTTGAGTCATATCAAAATATTCATTATAACAAAACATAATTACAAACTGCTCCAACGTAAAGATAGAGGCCGTTAAAGTGAAAAGTAGCTTGTAAAATGATGACTCATCGGATTTCAAATCATGTTAGGAGTTTATCCTGAAAGTTTCGGGTCTCTAATCGAAAAGTTGATATTTTTGTAATGTTATAAACGATATAAGCTCGACATCAGAACTTAGAAATAAGTTATATTATTCCAGTCACTGTATACTTTTCGCATCTCTTCTGATATATCCCTAATATTTTTAGTGCGTCTTGGTTTTTAGAAAACATATCTCGGCCTAGATCAGATGAATTGCCAAGACGGCGCTGGTTATGAATTTATAGAGAGATCTGCACTTTATTCTTCTATTTATGACTTCGAAAGGATCCAAGACATCTTTTCTTTTTGTTCAGATACAAACCAACAACAGCAGACCAGTGCTACTGCTACAGTGCCCAAGGATTCCGTGGCATCATTGATAAATCAACATCAATTGGTATGTTGCTTTGCATTTTAGAGAATATGACGGTAGGAATTGTGGTTGACTGGAATGCGGTTTTGTTATTGGCAAGTCGAGCTAATTTTCCGACCTAATTACATGACTTGAACAAAAAAACCTTCGTTTCATAAGCATGTTTCAAACAGACGCAGAGACAGAAGCACAGTTGAACTCTTCCGTTTCCAAATTCTATCGTTTCAAACTGAGAAGAAGTAAGGTAGTCAGATAAGTGGTCACTGAGACCGAAACAATTCTTTTACTGGAAACGTCTCGCGGTCGTTTTGACCAAAAAATGGCACATAAGGAACAAGTGGCCTTTAAAGCGTGTTTCAGAGAGACGGAAACAAGTGAATTAGTTACCGATTCTAGATCCTATCCTTTCAGTCTAGGGAATACGATGGTACACGTACATTAATCAGTCACAGTTTTCAGGTTTGATGTTCAACCATGCATTTATTTCTATTTTGGTTGTAGAACCTTGATATGCTACCGAAATGATGAAAAGTGAGAATATTTTAAAGCGGCGTGTGATTGCATGTATGTGGCACATACTTGCTGCACAAGTTCACATTTGGTTAGTGTCCGTCTTGATGTCCGTGGATACGTGTGTGAGTTAGCTTTCGATAGTACCAACAAATGTTGTAAGGCTCCTTGTTAAGAGTTGAGGCTTTCGTGCTAGTTCTGGAGGTATAGTCGGTGAGTACTGAGCGTCGCGTCCGTGCAGTCTCTTTTGACGCATTTCTGAATTGAGCATATTGGGAACTGCCTGTCTCACAGCTTGTTCGTACGCAGCTTGATGATGTTCCGCCGTGTACCATGAATATAACCGGCGATATTGAATATGCGTAAGCGGTTTGAATAGGTTTTCATAGTGTTTAATTGTTGCGGTTCCTTCAGAAGAACTGATTTCATAAGACCAAATGTTTCGCTATTTAAACCTGCAAGGTCCTCTGCTAGCTGTATGTAATCGCGCGACGCCATCAATCGTCCAAAATCGTAAGTGAAGGTTTTTACTTCATTATCAAATTCCTCTTTCGACGATTCCAGACTCTTGTATATTCTTCGCTGCTCCTCTTCAGGATTTGGTGATCCTAATGTTTTCAAATGCACTTCGCCCCAAAATCTGTAAGCGGTATTTTCAGTTCTCTTCCATATATCAGAAACACTATTAGCCTCTTGATTTGTACCGTCAATTAGAGAAGAGTTGCCATTAGGAATTGGTATGCCATCTTGCTTTAGTGTCATTCTTTCTGCTCGCCTAGACCCATGTAATGCACCGTGGTTACTTTTCCTTCGTTATTAGTGAGAACTCGATCAGCTTCTAAATGCATTTGTCTGACTCGTTCAGTTCAAATTCAGTTCGAACAGATCCAGCGAGGTTTTCAGGATCACTGAATCGGTTGGGCGATGATGATCGATTCGAAGTCACGGCTGAAAGTCACCTGAGAATGAGCCATCACAGATCAATTTTAGTCGCATTTTGTCTGAAGAGGAACTACGTTTCTCATCTTGATGGAGAAGAGGCTTATCCAAATTACCATGCCTCATGGATCAGGTGGTCGAAAACTTGTTCTCGGTTTCGAAGAACATTGTAGTCCAGATCAAGCTAAAGAAAAAAAAAGAATCACTTGTGATATCAACTAAGGCAAATAAAAATGTCATCGAAAGAAGAAAAGTCGAATTTGTGACCTCTGAATGACCAAAATGATGCAGTCGTAAAGTCAAACATATCCGAGAGAGCTGTTAGTGACGAGAATTGTTTTTATATGAACAATCATAACTCTAAGAGAATTTCGAGTCTCTCGGCTAACATGCAAAAATGTCTCATTTTGTAAATCGAACAATCATCAATGCTATGATTTTGTGATTTTTAAGAGTGCAAGAACTCATCATGAGTATAGACATCATCAAGACAAGTTTTTTTATTTAGTCCTGGTAATGCTTTATTTAATGTCGTAAGGTCATGGCCACGATCGTGTTCGTTGCAAAATCCTGGCGGAAATCTAACTGGAAATAACACATGGTTATCTATTGCTCTCAAGTTCTGTGCAAAGAACTTGAATCACCTTCGTCCACATCCACATCTTCATTGCCATCCACTTTAATACATTCGATGACCTCGATATTGTTATTTTATTTGTTTATAATCTAATCTTCGCTACGCATTCTTAATATTATTTAATACAAATAACATGAAAGGAAAAGAAAAACAACATGAATGAAACACGGTAAATTCGATGTTCCACTGAACAAGGCGTTTTACTTCTAAACATGATTATAATATATCTTAAATTGAACAAGGTCTGATCACCGCGATTGAGCAGGATCGGCCGTGGCTTACATGATAGACAGAGAGAGTTAGACAATATGGCTGATAAAATGTATCACGTACGCATAAATAAGATCTGCACACCGAAGGAAATGTAGAGGCAAAGATGCTTTACGTTTGAGAGAGACAAGTGGGAGAAGACAAAGAAAGAGAGGAAATCGTACCAAAAAGTGTGAAAGGCCAGAGCTAGCTTAGCACAAGAAGAAATATATTCTCTTCCACCAAGGCCACATCATTCGTTCCGCTCTTTCTTCAGCAATGCTTTCGACAGTATCGACCAAACGCCTGCCTGTGACGAAATCCACCGTTTTCGGCGTCATAAAAGGCGTTCTCTTCCATATCTTCCAAGAGATAGAAAACGAGAAGAATGGGCGCAGCAAGGTATGCTTGAAAGAACCCTTCTGCTTTGGAAAGAGCTCCCCGGGGGAAGATGGCGATGTAAAATTGAGCAATAAGGCATAAGATATTGAGAAGAAGACCAGGCACACTTCCCCAAATGCCGAACGGTGCCGTGAAGATCAATTCGTTTAATGTATGCCCTTCCACTTTCCACGCGCGTCGAAACATGATATGACAAGCACAGATAGAACCCCAGGTGAAGAAATTCGACAAGCCAGAAATAGCCTGGAGCCAGTTGAACACTTGAGTGCCCACTTGGGCACAATTGATGTAAGCAATCAAGTCTAAGAGCATGGAAAGAGCGACAGCCGTGAGTGGCCGACCTTTTCGATCGATGTAAGCGAAAATCTTCGGCGCTTGACCGGCATCAGCAAGGCCACAAAGCGTCCGAGGCGCTCCATAGACAGACGAATTGGCCACAGAGATAACAGCACAGAAAATAACCGCATTGAAGATGGAAGGCAATACTCTGATGCCTGCATTTTCAATGGCAATCACAAAAGGAGAGGCGGAAGCGTCGTAGGACGATGATCCTTGAAGCAGACGCGGAGAAGTGTAGGGAACGAGACAACCGATGAGGGTTAAAGAAACAATGCAAGATAATGGTAAAAATTACGTCATGAGATAACAGAAATAAGATTATTTTTCCTTTTTGAATTTTGTTGGATGTTTCCCCATAATCAGTTGCCCCATACTCATTTTCATAAGAAAGCAAGAGTTTACCATTCTATTTTTATGTATCCTCATGATAACAACGCTCTCAGTTTACCTTTTGGTATAGTACCCATACTTCTTAGGCAGATAAGAAGCGTGGATTGACAGGAAGGTAAGATTTATCTTGATTTCCATTCTGTTCTTATAAGATCGATCTCGGTCGATTGACGCTAGGTATGAGTAATGTAATTTCTCACACTTTACCCGATAGTAGTCATAAAATTAGTCACTATAATTAGAAACGATTGGCTGAAAGTACAGAAGCATTCGAAATCGGCGTGCTGCTCTTTGATGAAAACATGTGAAAAAGTTTCGAAAACCTTACAAGATAAATATCACATTTAGTGTAGATCCATAGTGGAACTACAAGTAACGCGTCGGCCTCTTGGGTCTCGCTTGACTCAATCCTAAAACCACGTAGAAAATCGAATAAAGAGGGCTGCCCAAGAACTCAGAAATGGGAATTCCTAACTAAACGAGGGACTATCACCAAATGCACAATAATCCCCTGGTAATCAAGGAACTGTACATCAATTCTAGTCGATTCCCTAACCATTCCTAGATTCCCAACCACGTTCCACGAATCATCATTCCACCCACAGTTCCTCTACAATTCCTCAGTTCCCAACTACGAACTGGCCATGCATACAATACCCTCTCAAAGGAACTGGGAAATTTAGAGGAACCGAGAACGAAACCTTTCCTGAAGAACTGACCAAACATCCAAGGAACTGACCTACCACAATTCCACAAAAGACTACATCACGATAATACCTCAATTCGGTTAAGGAACTGAGGGTAGGTTCCTAGTGGGAATTAGGGAACTGTCAGCAGAAGTGTCTCAATTCCCTAGACTTTTTCGACAAACTGACCATCACTGGTGTTAGAAAAGAGTACATCATGATAATACCTCAATTGGGTTGAGGAACTGAGACAATGTCACTAACAGTTCCCTAATTTCCACCAGGAGCCTTCTAGGAATCTACCCTCAATTTCTTAACTGAATTGAGGTATTATCCTGATAGGCGCTGCTCAAGCACTATATCTGTGATCAATTTCTTACAACACACTGTGTCGAAAACGAATACAAAAACGTTCAGGCGTATATTTCGTACGGAAGGAGAAGGAAGAACACTTGTGTAACCGCTACAACTATGCACCAAGCTTTCTCCTTTTTT